TATATATATATATATATATATATATATATATATATATATATATATATATATATATATATATATATATATATATATATATATATATATATATTAAAATATGAATGAATGAATGAAGCATTACACACTGAAAAAATATTAACTGGATTACTAAAAAAAAAAAAATTATGCAAGTGGTTTCAAACTATTCATACGAGTTTGAATTTAAATTAACAAAATAAATTTTAATAGTGTTTAACTTAGTAACCGCAAAAAAAAAAAAAAAAAAAAAAAAAAAACTTTTAATCTTTTAAACCAGATATTAAAAAACTATTCCATAATATTCAAAATCTTAATGACCCTCAAACGCAAGTCAAATCAAACCTTCCGCCCAACAGTTTGGGCTTCTACATGTGCCAACACAGCTTGGAATAGCACTTGAAACTATAACATGTTCCTGTATACGACATCTTAGTTTAATGACACTGTTGGCGTCTAAAGTAAGCCTGTGTTTGCTATGGCATCACTTTAACTTAATGGGGGAAATTATGAAGTAAATGGCTTAAAATACAGCATTACCCACAGAGCAGAAATGAGCTTGTTCCAGCATGAAACATCTCTCACTTCATATGCCTGTCCTGGAGAAGAAAAAAAAAAAAAGATTTCTCAGAAACAGCCCACTGGAACTGTAGAAAGGGCACCACTGCTTTTGTTGCAATTTTTAGTAATTTACTCCAAATTGCACTATCATTTTACGAGCTAACAAAGTTTTTAGGGGTCACAGAGCGCTGGATCTGATAGGAAACTTTAAGCTATTTCCTTTAATCAAGCTGGCCGTTACAGTGCAGATTACAAAGCTATTTGACTGCATTTTCATCCAAATGTGCATTATATAGCCTATTTTAATGCAAACAAGGACAAATATGAGTCAACTAAAAAGTAAAAAAAATAAAACACCTAAAAAGTTCATTCATTTGATTACAACTAGTAAATTATTTAATGTTTTGCAAAGCTATACGTAAATATATATAATGTATATATATATAAAGATGTATCGATGCACATATATATATAAAATAATATATATATATATATATATATATATATATATATTTATATATATATATATATATATATATATATATATA